CTGGAAGTGGAAATGGTGTTTATATATCAAAGTACAATTTGGGTTAAGATGTGTTTACTGATGAGTAACACAATCTCAGGACAGAAAGGCGATGTTTTAAATCTGGGTCACTAGTAAACAAAGAGGATGGGCGAGATACATGGTTTTTTTTTTTAACAGTATTTGTTTTGATCAAAAGGTTGAATCAATGTTTAGATATCCCAAAGGATAATTTTAGTGAAGCGAGAACTTGTGATTGAGATAAAGTAAATAATTGGAGAATAGGTTTACATGTCAAGGGATAGTTTTTGGCACTCATGATAATCGCGTGCCAGGCCAAGTGTCAATTCATGATCAACCAGATTTATTTCTATAAACGCATAGTTAAGTTGAAGAGGCACATCGTTGACAGGTGCATGAGCACCCACAGGCGACCATTACGGGTCGTGCTACAGGTCAGTATGAGACTGGACTATTAGTCATAAACCTACCCCAGGCGATTCAATACGCATTTATCACACACAAACCCTCTCTGTTGGGAATTCGCTGGATGCATTTTGTCTTTTTCTTTTATGTTAAATGTTTTTATTCTCCCTGTAACATCTGTTTTGATGTTATCTTATATAAAAGACGACAATATTTCCCCCATTGTTGTCTGGCTTCTGCAGATATTTTTATTTTGCTACATTCTAAACTTCCTAGTGCCAACTCTCCCAGCCATGTTCACATCCACAGTCGACTGAACATATGGACAACACTCCGCTTACTGGATCTAAAACCTAATACAGCGTAGGCAGCAAGCAGGACTTGACCAGTTGACCGGTCAAAATAATCTACGGGTACTCAGTGGTAACCGGCCGTATGCTCCCTAAGTTCGGTTCGGACCGAGTGGATACCTCAACCCAAAGAGAAAGACGCCAGAAGTTGAGGGGCTGTGGACGAAGTGGCAGACCAAGCAAGGCAATAACCCCACCAAGACACAAGGAGTTATTTGTGAGAAAGAAAACATTTAGGGGAGAAAAAAAAGAACATGAATTTGTGACACAGAGAGAGTCTGGGAAACGCACACACACATATATATATATATATTTTTAGTGAAATTGGGGTTGGTTTGAATAGCGAAATTAAATCACAACATTTTGTTTACTGATGGGGAAATCTGATCTAGGGCAGAAGTTGTACCCATTGAATCTGGGTCATCAGTAGACAATGGAAATGGTCGAAATAATTTTTATCGATTAAAAATTGAAAGAGCTGAGTAAGCTAGAAGGAACTTTGGAATTCGCATGATTTTGGTTGAAGCAGCCAGAACCCCGTGATAATTGCGTGCGAAGTAATAATAATGTACGATAATCACATACATTGTCTAGAATCCAGTGTATGTTTTGTTTTTTTTCTTTCTTTTCTGGAACCCGTTTCTCTTCTCTACTATATAAAAGACATTACCAATTCAAATACTGAATCGATGTTTGTCCAGCTTTCTGCAGATAAATTTTTTTTTTTTTTTGCTGCATTCTAAAATTAGCGCAGACTCCACAGCTGTGCCTACATCTTCAGTCAACCATGAATGGACAGACATCACTTCTGCTTTCTGGATCGAACAAATCACGTGGGCAGCAAGCAGGATTAAACCAGTGGACCGGTTGAATAATCTATGGATGCACAGGGGGTGTTTTTGCTAGATCACTTATAACAGAGTTCAATCCTCACTGGATGCTCCACACTTGCATCACATTCTAAGCATAGTTTAGAATTTTCAAGTACAACTGAAAAGAGAGTTTGATCCTCACTAAGTACCCCATACTTTTGGCCTTATGTCACAACTATGTTGAGTACTGTATCAAGAGAGCATCATATAAATGATTTTTCATTGTAACATTTGAGACTTTAAGAAATCCCTCTCCTTGAAATGTTCATAAAGCATGCAAATATTAGTTTTTACTTTACATTTTTTTTTTTTTAAATTCATATAAATGTCATAAAATTTTACTTATTAATGAGGGGTGTGATGAAAAATTATTGCTCCAAAATGAATTCAGATTTTTGGAAATGGGTCAGTCTGGTAACTTTTCATCAACTTTTAATTTTGCCATCAGATTTACAAGGATAAAACAAAATACAGACCACTGGATTGGTAATCATAGATTTTGTAATTTAAAAAAAAAAACTAAGTGGCTGGAGGAGAGAACATGGAATCAGAAAAGAATTGGTAGGAAGGGAGAAGGAAAAAAAAAAAAAAAAAAAAAAAGACTCATTAGGATCAAGAGATTTGTTTTATTAGCTGCTAATTTACAAAAAAAAAAAAAAAATTAAGCCTTTACCAACACTCCTCCACCACCCACAAAGGTGGGTAAGAATAAAGAGCAGAGAGGGAGGGGGGGGACGTTGTCTGTCTTCCTCTTTCAAGAGACTGAGCAACTTCCCTTGACACTAGAGGGGAGCATATATTAAACATAAGCAGCTCTTGCTAGTCACGACCTAAAACTCAAGGGATAGCAAACAGTCCTATTCCGTCTTCTACACTTGAAGACATATCACAAAAAGATAAGCGTGCAAGAAGGTAATTAAGTATCTAAGATAGTAAAAACAAATTAAAAAAAAAAAAATTTAGCTGAGACATTTGAAGTTAGCTTTATCATTCCATTGGGAGCTAGAAGTAAATTAAGTGAAAATATCACTTTTCTTTAAGAGAGTGGGTCCTTTTAATATATAAAAACCTTTTTAAAAAGAAAAGGCTGCATTTGCAAGTGTTAAGAAGGCAGAACAATGGTAGAAAGAAGCGCGCATGCACACACACACACACACACACACACACACACACACTTGCTGAAACAAATTCAGGCTGGCCTGTGGAAATATAACATTTTATACAATGGATTTTTTAGTGAAAAAAATAAACTGACCACAGTATACTTGTACTTTCCAGTCTTCAGCCAATAACAAATCAAGAGAAAAAAAAAAAAAATCTTTATTTCAATTTCTGGGTAGAAAGAAGTAGGATGCAATGCTCATGACCCTCGGATTATTCTATCTCCATAGAGACCTTAATAAAAGTACAAAACTTATGTGTCCTCTTCAGGAAAAATTTTTAATGTTCATCAGGCCAGCTGAACCATTGAGGATCAAATGCTTTGCTGACCTAGGAGGTGCTATAAAAATAAGGGCTACTAAGTGTTAGTGTCCATTTCATTTATATACAAAAATGTCAAACAACTGTAAAAACTTTCATGTAACCAACAAAATTATCTAACAAGAAAAGCTATCTTCAATCAGTAGGAGTAGCTGAAATTTTCTTTAATATAAAAATAATCCCTTGTCTTTCAAAAGAACATTATTGACCAGTCAAAGGTTGCAATGTGATCACAGAGCAAATAAGCTAACATAATAAAGAGAATGGGTAATGCACTGCATCAGAAATTATTGGGACAGTTTTCATTGTTATGATTTATAATAAAAAATTTGTCTAATAAAGGAAATAAATAAAACCAGAAATTAAAAGCCAGCAAATTACATAGAAAGCAGATTATGCACAAATATCTTCACGAGTTTCCATCCTATGTCCAATACTTATCTGGGATATCTTAACCAAACATTACATTCATTGAGTTAAATAAGAATTTTAACAATTGATCATTGTCCCTAAAATCATTTTTTTTTTTTTTATAAACTTTGGTAACAGACAAATCAAAGACTGGATGGTTACAGCCATGTTAAAGACAATTCCTATTTTTTTTCTTTTTTAAAATCAAATATCAGAGCTACCTTAATTCTGTACAATTTGTTGGCTTTTTAAGTGAAGCTATTTACTTATAAATATAAAACTTTGCCCTAACCTCAGCTGTTTCATTGTTTTCTCATAATAATGATAGTTAAAACCATAGCTGGGCAGTATGAATTTTATTTGTTTACCAAGTTTCAAAATTAAACATTTTATAGACAAAATAGAATTTATCAATGGTTTTATCTGTAAAATATTTTAAAATCTAATTTTCAATAATAGTAATTAAAGTGCCATCAACCAGAAATTCCCAAATGTTTTCATTTTCTTACACTTCAGTAGCACAAATATTTCAAGATTTCTTGAAATGAGGAAAAACCTCAAATATTTTCACATCAGATAATGTAGAAAAATTAAAATAAATTTCATACAATAGCTAGTAAAATTTTTGTTAGAAAATAAAAAGATAATTCTTTGAACTGTAGACTCATCATTCAAGTAGAAACAAACCATTTAAAGTATTTCTAACTTTTTTCAATGTACAAATCTGTTATCTCAAGCTTTCCCATCCAAATTGAACAGAGTGCATTTATAATCACCAAAATGAAGCTAGTGTTATGAAGAGGTGGGGGGAGGGGGTATCACCAGTGAAAATACTGGCAACTTACAGATGAGTGTATAGCCCAAACAATTATCCAATAATGTTAGATTGGACAACCTTGGAAAAATTAATAGCAAGGAAGATCAAGTGTTGCTGAGCATAAAACAGAAGATAAAAGCAGTAATATGGGGAAAATAAAATAAAATAAAAAAAAAATTAAAAAAAAAACAGACAGGAATTTTTTTTTCTTTTTCCTTTGTTACAATTTTTAAAATTATCGGCAAAGTTTGTGGTAACAGGGTTTCATTTATTGTTCAGGTGAACGAGAAAAGAAAAAAAAATTATTTACATGTTCAGTGTGGGAGAGAATAACTTTATTGGTAGACTATTTGCTTTGTTGTTTCCCCACTGCTTTGTGTGTTTATGTGCAAGATTTTTTTTTTTTTTTTTTTTTTTTTTCCCCACAGCCCACCTCTACAAAATAAGGTAAGGAGAGATTGAAGAAGCTGGATTCAGTCCTCCTGCCATTATTATACACAGCAAATACAGTATAACCTGCAGCTGCTATGGACAGCCAATAAAATCAGATTTGGTAAATATATAAATGATGTTCCTCCTGCTTCCACAAACAGAAAAACAGTAAAAGTTTGCTCTTGCAATTTTCTAATAAATGTTCTTCAAGATCCTAATTTAAAGTTGTGGTTATTTATCCAATTTAGCCATTTTTTCCTGCACATTCTTTGCCAAATATTCTTTGTAGCTGAAAATGTCACCTGTCCATTTAGTTATTGTTTGATTTGCACACACCCAGATCTCTTCAGCCACCTAAAGAAAAGAAATTCATGACATTTGATTAGCAACCCAACTGTTACAAGCATTTAAAAAGATTTAATTCTAATGAATTTGTTTCATTTACAACATCAAGGATGGATTTTATAAGTTAAAATAATATGCACTTACAATAATTTGTCACAACTACCAATAGGACTAGTCTTTAAAATACTATGAACTTTGTTTTTTGTTTATTTTTGTAGATGTTAATAACATTACAAATTCAATCCACTGGTTTATGAGTAAAATCAGCACAAAATTCTGTCAAAAATATTACTGATATAGATTACCTTCAACTTCACAAATAGATCAAGTATGACAACTTAGATTAAAGGCAAGTATAAAGAAAATCAAGATTAAATATACTAAATTCTTAGTTGTGCAAATTCAATGTGTATTGCAGAAAGTTAGCTTTGTGAGCCAATGCCCTACAAAAAAAGATAAAAGCACCAAAACCTGTATCTCATGAATAAACCTTAACATTGTGATCGTCTATGAAAATGTTTTCAAAGGCTGAATTGCCTTTGAAAACATTTTCATAGATGATCACAATGAATATTTGTATTCATGGGTTGAATTACCCATGAATACAAATATCCAAAAACTAAAACAATTTACATTAATGATTAATTAGGTTAAAAAACAAAAAAACACACAACAAAGATATCTTTTGTAAATTTTGGATGTATGCTAGTTGTTGAAATAGATGCTCAAGTTAAAAAAAAAAAAAAAAATGTAACATTCATATAGAGAAATTACAAATTTTGATTATCCCAAGTTCAAGGAGGTTTTATTCTATTTCATAATTTCTAACATAAGAGGAAGTACCCAAATAAATAACAATGGAAATAGAATGGTATACACAAACTAGACCGACAGTTACACATTAAGCCACAAATTAACACTATTATGTGCTAACCTATCACATTGATTGTTTCCTGCAAGACCACCACCACCCCCACCAACCGATTGATTATTACAAACTGTTGTACTGTGCTTCAAGAAGCTTTATGTAAGAGTCTTAATTACATTTCTCATGTGGTGAAATGTCACTTAAAAAGATCAACCACTATCTGGCTGGCCTTCAACAGGCCAAAAGGAAAAATATTAAAAACTTAATCACAAATCAATAAAGATAATTGCCAGAGTATTGATAAGGTATCTGAGGTGACTACCTGATTTTGCAGTTCATATTAGGGAAATATTAACAGAATATTCACATTTCCAAAATGTACACTTTATTTGAGACTGAACAGGAGTCTTTGGGTCATAGTTATGACCCAAACAAGAAACAAGCAATAGGAGGAAAAGACCAAAATCATCAAGGCCCCATGATAATAACACTATCACCTAAAAAGCAGAACCATCTTTAATGTTTAATTAGGATTCACAGACTAGTCATACTTTGGCAGGCAAGCATGGATTAAAATTCAATTAAATTAATAATAAAAAAAAAAAAAAAAAACAGTAAATACTGAAAATACTACTTCACATTCTGATTAAAAACAACACAAGTTAAATTAGAAAAGAACATTTAAGCAAGTGAATTACCTGAGAAATCAGTCTGAAGTCGTGGCTGACCAAAATCATGCCACCATCAAAATCATTAATAGCTTCAGCCAAAGCATCAATTGTCTCAATATCCAAGTGATTCGTAGGTTCATCTAGGAGGAGCATGTGAGGATTCTGCCAAGCCAACCAAGAAAAGATGACACGGCAACGCTGACCATCTGACAAATTCTTAATGGGACACACCTAGGAAAAAAAAAAAAAAAAAAAAAAAAAAAAAAAAAAGTTGAAACTGATTAAAGCCAGCAGTTAAAGTAAACAAAGCCATTACAATTGGCTGTCTTTTCAAATTTAACATTTCAGTTAAAGGAAAAAAAAAAAAAAAAAAACATCCTGAACTAGTATGCAATTTCAATATTTTATCCTTTTATTTAAAAAGTGAAATTTCAGTAAGTTTACAAATTTATTTATATTTAAATATAAAGACTATTTCATAGCAACTGTTCTGGACAAGTAACAGACATTTCAGATGGCCCACTGCACAAATTGTCAGCCATGAACAGCTTATGAGCAGTTTTGCGTTTCTTTTCACCACATGTGAAAAGATGGAAGCAGTAATCATCACAAATGTCTGGTAAAATGAAATTTTATATAACACCACAAAAAAAAAAAAAAAAAAAAAAAAAAAAAAGGTTTTGACAAGATATTATAAATGAATACAAACAAAAGACAAATTCAAAAGATATTTAGGAATTTTTTTTTTTTTTTTACAATTGCTATTTTATCCCCTAAGAGTCAAACAGCATTTTACCAGTTATTTTAACCGGAATTTCTCATGAATAAAAAAGGTAAACCAGTATCAATTTCTCTTGGCCTGAACATACACTCTTTAGGATTAACACGACAAATTTCAGGATAATGTAAGAAAACTAAAACTTAAAACAGGTTAAGAAAGTAATATAAATAAACCACTTATTTTGGTATTTAAAATCTAACCCATTTTTGACCATTTTATGAGAGCATTTCACCTACCTGTTGTTGTCCAGTCAAGCCATATCGACCAATGATTTTTCTCATTTCTTCCCTTTCACGTATGTCAGGAAAGCATTTCATCATCCAATCTAAAGCACTCATGTTCAGATCTAGAATTTCATGAAGATGCTGCAACACAAAAAGGCAAAAAAACTTTAAAAAAAAAAAAAAAAAAACTCTACAAAGAATCCCAATATTTTATCCTTTTGTTACAGTTGACAAACCAAGAAGCATTTATTGGACTAAGTCAACTTTAAGAGACTGTATTTAGTGTTACATAAGCCAAACAGTTTTCAGGCCTAGCAGCTTGTATGTTAACTGGCATACAATAGGTGTTCCTTATCAAGAAAATATGAAATCATAAGTCCAATATTTTAACAGTTCATCTACCTCGGGCAGTTCATCATTTAATTCATTACCACAACTGCAAAAGTTAGAAACATAATAAAAGTGATATGTAAATTAGATTCACATTTGCAAGAATTTTAGGAACTCTCAATTTTGCCAGAATGATGGTGATAAAAAAAAAAAAAAAAATAAAATAAAATACATCCAGCAGTTATAAAGCCTTCTTGGCTGCATTATCTAAAACTAACATTTCACTAAAATGGTAGGAAAGATCTTAATTTAGACGAAATGAATTCAATACCAAATATCAACTTACTTGGTGATAACGCCCAATCTTCAAGTGGGAGTGTCGTCTTATTAATCCTTCAGTTGGATAAAGCTAGATATAAGAAAATAGAACAAGATGACATTTTCATTCAATCAAAAAGTACCTATAAAAAAAAAAAAAAAAAAAAAAAAAAAAGTATATTAAGAGCTTCGAAAAATATTGCATAGATCTTTTATTTTATAATCTAACCACAGGCTGATAGTACTTTGATAATATTTAAATTAATTTTTCTACCTTCAGTTTTAATGACATCTAAAAATGAAGATTCTAACTATTCATCTTCAAAAGGATAAATTCCTCTTTACATTGGCTCAAGATAAACTTACCTCTCCATAAATCAATTTGAGCAAAGTAGATTTTCCTGCTCCATTCGGGCCTACCAAGGCCACTCTGCTGTCAAGGTCAATTCCAAAGTCTAAGTCTTTGTAAATAAAAGGCTATAAAAAGAAAAATATATATACATAAATAAATAAATACATATATAACAAGTAGAATAGATGCACTATTAAAAGAATTACATTTATGGCATTATTTCCTGTAAATAAAGATTATCTTTTGTATTAGCCATAATTCCTGATATTCAATCATACATAGTTAAAAAAAAAATTCAAAAGCTAATAGTAATAGTGAGATTACTTCATTTAACAAACATTTAGCATTCATTGTCCATACATTGTTAGTTGAAGGTCATTATTATTGCTCTTTCTAGTACTGATGTGAGCTTTCCTCCTAAGTAGAGAAAGTCAACATCTCTATCATATCCCTATTTTCACAAGTTACATGTGCTACTCATTCTAGTTGTTACTGCTGTTAAGTCTGTTAAGTTTTGTTTTATTTTTTAATCTGATTCTGCACCAGTCCATAAGATCTAATGAAAAGATAAATATAAATAATGATTACTTCTAATAAAATAAAAAAAAAAATTCTTTAAAGTTTATATTTAGCTCGACAAATTTTCAAGAAAAATTGAGTAAGAATTGTTTTTAGTTCTAAAAGCAACAAATAAATTTAACGTAACTCATCTGTTGTGAAAGAAAAATGTTTCAAAGTGCTTGAAGCCAGGTTTCAAGCATTATTCACTAATATTCATAAACTGATTGGTGCTTATCTTAAAATATCTTAATTATGTTATAAATACTAAGATCTGAATGCACATGAAACCCAAAACCAATCATGATAAAGAGTCTGTTGGGTTTGTCAAGGGAGGCAACTTCTTTCTTACCTTGTCATCAGCGTATTTAAAGAAGACATGTTGCACCATCACAATTGGAGGTGGTAGAGAGCCACAGGGTGGAAAGTAGAAGGTCAATGTCTAAAAGAAAAGAAAAAAAAAATATGAAGAAAAGTGAAAGTTTTAAAGCAGCAGTGGCTTATTTATATACATGTTTACATAAGCTGACTGTGCTTTAACACTCAGCATCTATTAAGACTGCTTAACAATAATAGATCTAATACAAATTTGATATTAAGGAGAAAAATGATTCTAATATTTTAAAAAAATAATATGAACAAAATACAAATGATATAAGATTGTTTCAAGGTAGTGATCACAGGAAACAAATTATTCAAGCACATTTTTTATTTATTTCTTGTCCTGACAACCAAATACTGCCTAACTAGTTTACAGTCTTTTAATCTCAATTTAATATTGAGGAAAGTTGACATTGACTTTATTTGTGGTGAAAAGGGATTAACATTTAAACTAAGTAATAAAAGTCTGACCATCAATGAACGATACCATATCTCAAATGCAATATGTGCACATTAACTCCAATTTAATAGGATAAAAAATTGTCACAAATCCTTTAGTTTAGCTTTACACAGTATGTTTTCAGAATATCCTAAGTCAAAATTTAGAAGACTATTTTTCAGCATCACTTCTGTGTATAAATATACAGTAGCATCCAAAACTAAGGGACAAAATTTTAAAACCTAATATTTGTTAGAAATAACAACTGTGAAAAGCTGAAATTTTGACAACTGGTAGTCGTTATCATCCATAATAACATACTAAAATTTGAATCATTTGCAAAGGATAGAAAAAGAATTATAACATTTATTTATTTTCAAAATAGGATCATCCAAAAGTAAGGGACAAAATTGAGAAAAACAATGTAAACAGTATGCTATATTCAAATTTTTTGATTTCCTCTAAAGAATAAGTCTTACTTAGTCATTTGTAAACGTTGCATCAGCCGGCACCATGGCGAAACGCCAAAAACTTGATTACTCAGTGAGACAAGCTACACAAGGAAAAGCACACCATTAGAGAGATTTCAGAGAAAGTGAAACGTTCCAAGAATGTTGTAGGCAGGGTTGTTAAATCCTACAATGATACTGGCAAAATAGTTAGTGCTTTTAAAACCGGCAGACCCATAAAACTTGACAAGAGAAGATTGAATAATGTAGCGTATGTCATTAAAGGACCGTTTTAAGTCTTGCACAGAAATTAAAAGGGTTATGAATAGTACCTCATGTTAATGTGTCAAGACAGACTGTTTGTAGACGACTGCAAGAAATAGGGCTGTTTAATCGAACCCCAGGAAGAAACCACTTGTTAGTTCAAGAATAAGAAGAGATTAGAGTTTGCAAACAGGTATGTAATTTGGACATATGAAAATTGGGCAAAAGTATTTTTCAGTGATGAAAGCAAGTTTAATTTATTTGGAAATGATGGAAAAAACAATGTAAAGAGACGTATTGGTGAAAGATTAAGTGCAAAGTGTACTAAGAAAACTGTCAAGATGATAACGACTACCAGTTGTCAAAATTTCAGCTTTTCACAGTTGTTATTTCTAACAAATATTAGGTTTTAAAATTTTGTCCCTTAGTTTTGGACGCTACTGTAGGTAATCAAATAAAATTCACAGTTACTAGCAGGTAGCATCAGTTAAGTGTAATTACTACCCACCCACACCCAATTATGAAGTACGAGATTAAAACAAAAACTTGACAAGTTAATTATCATCACCTGAGGAGGCCCAATTTGAGTGCTGAACATGAAAGCTATTGGGTAGCAATTTTTAGCAATTAAATGCTAGACAGTGGAATTATACTTCAATTGCTCTTATCCCATAACTGGATTATATATATATATATATATATATATATATATATGTGTGTGTGTGTCAACTAGCATCACTATCCAGTGAGTTTTGTTTTCTCCCAAATTTTTTTTTTTTTATAACTAAAGTTGCATTAAGATACCTATAAATATAAAAAAGGTAATGACAAAGTCAATTTGTATTTTAATGATTTTGAAGATCTAGCAGGAACAAATCTTACCTTATCTTGTGTAACTTTTTCAGTTAAACCACTATCTACCATTTTCTTCAAAGTCTTTTCTTTACTCTGAGCTTGTCGAGCCAATTTGGCACTGCCATGACCAAATCTAGCAATGTAGTTCTAGAAACAAAAATATTCAGTGTGAAATTTTGTTAAGTTTTGAGAGTCAAAAATAATTATGAACATATCACAACAGAAAATCTAATGCATTTTTTTAACTTTCAGAGTAAACACATGTAATTTATTTTGTAACTTTACATTGAAAGTTATTAAAATTATTGCTTCTAATGTCATTTCTAATTCAACTCTACCAATATTGCCTAAATGACTATATTACCTTCATATGAGCAATTTGATCTTGCTCCCATTTATATTTCTTCATTTGGTTCTCTTCAAGTTCCATACGGGTTTGCACGTAAGCATCATAATTACCCTAGAACAGAAAGAAATATTTCAGTAAGTTGGATTTCTTGAAATTTACTCAGTGATAAAAGGTAGTCCTTTAAGACTGCTGAAAAAGAAAAAAAAAAAAAAAAAAACAGAAACAAGACTGTAGAGAGGGGGGGTGTCATTTATGAGCCAATTATTTTGTTGTTTAAAATATCAGGGAAAGCAATAAAAGTGTTTCAGAAGGAAATTCTTTCTGCTAGGCTTAGTTTACTCAGATTTTACAGCACAGAGTTTTGAAATTTATCAAAAACAAAATGTAGTTACTTTGTGATAAAAGACATCCAACTCCTGGGTGAAATGTTTTGTTTCATTGCAGTTACATTGTGAGCTTATGTGAACTTAGAGAGGGGAAACAAATACAAAATGAAAGAAAGAAAAGGAAATCCTAGGCTTATCCAACCAATATTCACCAAAGATCAGTGTGCTACTGTTTGCAAAGAGAATATTTTTGTTAATTTCAACACCTGAAGGCTATAATGAAAAACAACATTCTACAGAATCTGGTCAGATTTATTAAGCTACAGTAATCATGCCACAGATAAAATGTGACCAACTCAATATCCAAACTCATTACAGAAATTCTATGTTAATAAAGTCTTTAAATAAATCAAAACTATTGCAAATTAAGAACTAATACAAATAAGGAGGAAAAAACTGATCTGGCTTCAGTGTATTTGGTTATCATATAAAACATCAACAACAGAAGAATCAAGTCCTAGGGTCAAGGTAATTGTTAGTCTTTCAAGTATCCTTTATATCTTGACAAAGAATACAAAAAAAAAAAAAAAAAAAAAAGACAGTTTATTGTAGGTACACCAATACAGAACATACAAACTTCAGATGCACTGATTTAATTGGGAGCACACTTTCTGACCAAAGGATTTTTCTCTTCTGATGTAAGGATGTCTATCAGACCTTTTACTTCAGACATCATTAGCCAAATTAACAAAGAGCAAAAAGAAATTCTACCTAAGTTTTCAATTAAAAATAGCTTAAAAAACACTTTGCTTTATCAATTGAAAAAAAAAAAAAAAAAAAAAAAAAAAAATTCAGAATTTTAAAACCTAAAATAAAGTAGTTTTTTTTAAATGTCACCTTTAAAAATCAATTTCTAAGTAATTTTGCTATTACAGAATTCACAAATAAAGCAATCCTGAAAATTTATTTCATTATTATTGTGCATGCTAATCAAGTAATATCAATAAATTTTAGTATACCTAGAACATATTTAGCAAGTACAGATGGTCAACAAATGTACATGTGCTATTAATGTTTTTTTTTTTGTTTTTTTTCCTTTCTTTGGTAAAACATACCCTAAAGAACTAATTTACAGAAAGATGTGGCAGCAGGTAGAATTCTATACATGCTAAGGTTCCCTTTTTAGTCCATGGCCACCATAATATGCTATTCAATGTTTTGTTTTTTTTTTTTTGTATTTGACGGTTTCTATTCAACATTGATCTGAAAGAAATAGGGAGCCAAATAACACCAACACCAGAAGAGGACTTGGCGACGAGACCCCTACTTGAATAAGCCTTAAAGACACAAAAACTAATCAGGGTGCATATAAAGTGTGAAGTCCATGCAAAGCAAAGAAATGCATTTACAAAATTTTCAAAAATGTAGCCATCAGCTATTTAATGCGACTGGATTCATACACAAACTCTTGTAGGTTAGCAAGCAACAGAATTATAGGCAAGTGAAATATTTTAATTTATTAAAACTATTGTTTTCATTTTCTGTTATAGACAACATTTCAACCAAGTATCCTCTGAATATCTTCAGAGTGCCATATTTTTGGCTGATAGAAGATGTCCAAATATATTCCACTTGACATCTTTTGGGACAGTGGCATATTAATGTATGCATTGGTTAAAAGTGTTGCAGTCATGTAATAAGAAGGTTCACAATTCTGGGCTAAAGGATTGAAATCCACATCATCTGATTTAGTCTGGAGGAGGAAAAAAAAAAAAAAAACACTGACAAAGCTAACAGTCAAACCATACAAGATATATCCTATCAGTCAGAAATAATGGATATCTGAAGATGGTCAGAGTAGTTTGCCTAAATATTAAGGTAAGCACAACTAAGAACAATAGTTCAAATAGATTATAGTATATTAATAATTCCTGATCTCAAAATCAGAACAAATTGCAAACAGACAATACTTACATTATTTACAAGTGTAAATAACTCCTCATCCCAGAAATTCAAATAGAAACAACTGATGTCATTATTTCATATAATGTACAAGAGTTTGATCTTTTTTTTTTTTGTCCTAGTCTTAAAAGGACTAGGACAAAAATTCTGTACAAATAAATAAGTTTTAAAGCTTTAAAAATAAAAATACAGCAAATACTCTGGTGTTACTCAAATTTATTTTAGTGAAAATAAATATTTGTTAAATAAGGAAAAAAAATACTTGACAATCTGATTTTAACAGACAAAAATGGTTCCCAACCTATGTCCAAATATAGAATAGAACAATATTTGGGCATCAGAGTATACTTAAGGTTTAGACGAATTTCCATAAATGAAAAATCTTTGAGGCTTTCATTTTAGCTTTAATTGAAAGCTAAATGATTAAATTTTTTTAATTCCAGAAAGCAATATACTGTAATGTATTTCTAAAAATTAGATTGATTTTTAATTGATTTTTTCAGAAAAAAAAAAAAAATAAATAAAAATAAAAACAGCCATTTTTTTGACACTTGTAAACAAAAGTTAATTGTAAGTTTTAAAAAAAACTTGCAAAAAATGTACATTTCTCAAATATTTGCTGAAAATTAGCAAATTTAAAAGTAAAATTAATCTCTTCTGAAACATTACTTCTAGCATAAAAATGTTGTATACAAGCATTTGTTAGTCTTATTCCCACATCACCATTGATATATTAATAGCCTAAGTTGTTGACAGGTTAAGTATGGATCAGAATTGACAAATTTCCAAAATAAAAATGTTTTTTTGGGGTTTTTTTTTTAACTACCAGGTAAATAAAATATTTTAAGCAATTACCTAATGATTTATTGATTTTTTTTTTTTTTTTGGTACTTACCAGCTGAAAATATTTTAAGAATTCATGAATTGAGTTACATCTATAATGATATTTTATTAATTATTTCAGTTATTAAATTAAAAATTTAATAAGATTATAAATAAATTTAGTAATTAATATATTATCATAGTTATAATTTTAATAACCAAGATAGTATACTAATTCTATTAATATCTTTTCAGTTATTAACTTTTTAATTCAATAAGTGAGATAAAATAATAATATGGAATGTAGAGGTAACTCAATAATTTGAAATTTTATGGTATTTATTATTAATTCATATTTAAAATCTTTTTTTTCTTTATTCTTTATTATTATTATTACATCCTGATGATGGTTATGTTAAAGTTATTTTATTTATTAAATTTTTTTGAAATACTTAAATTTTATTACTACTCAGGTAATTGTATACCTATTTAAGCATAATCTAATACCCCAAACAATATGGGGGAAAAAATAATACCATACATAACAGTTATAAGACTTGGAATATTCTGTGGCCCTGAAAAGGGACAGATTTTCTCTTCAACAGTCCTCAGAAGTGAAATGAAACAACTGACAACAGCCGAAAAGGTTTATATGAGCAGAATTTTCTGTAAGGGGGATAACCCTTGAAACATATGACATTTTAATGATAATGTCATGCATAAACACCATACTTAAAAAAAAAAAAAAAAAAAAAAAACTTTTTTTTTTTTTTTTTTACATTTTTGGTGTGATTTGTATTAAGCATTTCAATTTTCACTTAGTAAATATAGTCTTCACTTAATAACCCAACTTTGATGACATCATTATTTTACAATTTAAAGCAGATTTTATGGAATTTGGTAAAAATTTTAAAAATAAATAAATAAAAAAATAAAGTAAAATAAAAAATTGATGATTTACATTCTCCAAGGAGTCAAAAAACATTTGGAGCTCAATTTTAATTTCTAGAAATTCCATGAGATTAAGTGAGGGTTAACAGTTGCATATATTAAAAAAAAATTAACCTTGTGTGTTATTCAAATTCAGCAGCAACAGTTTCCTCAACCTTACTTATTAAATAAAAATTTAAAGCAGAAAAATTTATAACCTGTTCATTAACAAGGTAAAGAACAGTAATCTTTAAAAATTTCTACTTTATCAAGTCATTTAGTTTGTACAGTTCATCTTCAGCTGTAATATTCATCTAGCAAAGTAGAAAAATACTTCAAGAGTTATATATACTAAACAATTATTTCATTAAGACTACTCATGAGTGTTTTGAGATATAGAAGATGTTATTTTAGAAGAAAAACGAGGGTGGGGTAGCCAGACTATAGCTGTGGTATAACATGAAAGTTTTAGTCTATTTTTACTGCCATGTAGCAGTGACTTACCGGTGCCCCAAAAGGGCCAGAGTCTCATGTATGTTTTTGCAAGGGAGTGTTGAAACAGCGAATTGACGAGCATCGGAGGGACGGTGAATCAGACGGTACTTTGTGCTGATGGTGGTGGTGTCGATTTATTAGCTGGTTCTGGGCACTCATTGGCTGAGTGCTGGCTGGGTCAGGTGTATAAAAGCACGGGATGCTCATTTAACAGGGGTTTATTTTTTTTGTTTGGAACAGTGAGTGGAGTATTGGATATTGAGGCGAGAAGTGTGGATTTGTCTTGCCTAGTGAACATACTGGACTAGTACCTTTCCTTTTCTGTGTGTGCTTCCAACCAATTTTGGCAATGGCTCTTTGTATATGTAAATCCAACCACTTCTGTGGCACTTGGGTCAGGCAGTCTGCCGGTTTAGACAGGATTTCACCAGTGTCACATCCATTGTCAAGGCATATTCCTCTGCCAAAGCTCGCAATGTCTCTAAGCGCTGTCTTACCAGAATCTCACCAGCCGCCTTTGTGTTTACCCATGCCTTTCCAGTCAAGGTGCTCGATATTCATCGATGTACGCAGGTCGAATCCATAACCAAATGTAACATCAATGCCCGCCATTGAATAGCCAGATTTACACCTTTTATTGTTACATCGAGCTCAGCCAAATTTACATACTTGGCATCTTCAGTTGGACGCAACCAACTAGCATCCTCCACAAATGTTCCTATTCATTTGTAGGGCCACTCTTGTGGCCACAGAACTTACGCCCACCCAAACCTTCATCTCACTACCATCAACACACCAGTCTCCTTTCATGGTATCCATCTTGTGTACCTTGGCCACTGTTTCAGTTAGCATGCAACAGAGAGAGACAGCCTTGACTTCATCATCCCATCCGCTGGTCACTGTGGTTGCCTGCCGCTTTATAAATGCAGACGCCACTCCGAACCAACCACACACATGGAAATGGCCCATAAGTTTCCTGCATAGAGAAAAGATGCTCCAATGGGTGATGATCTGTGGAACGTCTGACTTCACATTCATTTCTATCGAAGCATGCCATCCATTTCGTTGCCACAATCAAAGTTCTTTCTTGTATGCATCCCAAGCATAAGAGGGCACTATATATTCTCGGAACGTGTACAAAAAAGAGGAACAACGAAAGTCGTTCTTAGACGAACTATGGTCTAGAGTGTCATCAGGTGCTCCGTCATTGGTCTCTGAACTGCTGGTAGATGAAGTGGGGCTGGGGCGTACACTTGATATTCCGATGCACTCATGTACCAGCCAGTATTGTGGAATGCTGTCATAGAAGTATCAAGACCATCGCATCCAGAAAGAAATGTTTGATGCCAGAGGTGGTCTATTGGCAGAATGTCACTCCCGATGCCATCATTTGCACCACAAAACATTCAAGGAGTATACCAAGAAGGGGACATTGTCTAGGTAAAGTCTCCACGCAATAGATGCACGACCAAATTCAAAGCAGGTCACGTAACCCAAGTAAACAGTCCACAGTCAGTGCAGATTGATGGAATGCCACAGCACATGAAGAATTTACGCCCTTTTTGAGATCATATCCATCATCAGACTGATGGCGATACAGAGGAGAATGAACAATTTGTGTATTTAAAATCTAGTTCACCAGGTGATTCCTCCAGTCCCAGCAGTTTAGAGACCAATGCCAGATCATCTTATGACACTCCAGGCCGTAGCTTGTCCAATAAGAGACTCATCATTCCCCTTCAAAGGAGTACCCAACAGAAGAGACCTGCCCCGGGATGCATCAGCTGTGGGGGTAGCAGTGACTTACCTCAGCGCTCCAAAAGGGCCAGAGTCATGTGTATGTTTTGCCAGGAAGTGTGGAGACAGCAAATTGACAAGCTTCGGATGGATGGTGAATCAGACAGCACTTTGTGCTGATGGAGGTGGTGGTGTCGCTTGTAGCCATTTTTATTGGCTGCTTCTGGGTGCTCATTGGCTGGCTGGGTCAGGTGTATAAAAACAGGGTATGCTCATTTAACAGGGGTTTGATTTTCGTTTGGGATGGTGAGATTGAAGTGAGAAGAGTGGATTTGTTTTGCCTGGTGAACCTTTTGGACTCGTACTACCTTTTCCTGTTTGTGCTTCCAACCAATTTTTGCAACATACCATTAAAGTCAGCAGTTGGCATAAATATAGGATAAGTGACATGTTAAAAAAACAACTTACTGGAAAGAGGAGAAATGTTAAAATAAACATTAAGAAAAAAATAAAAATTCTTACTCCATAGTAGACCAGCTTTTTGAGGTGCATATGAATAATATTTGTACAAACACCATTCAAGAAGTCCTGTGAGTGAGAAATGATCACCAAGATTCTTTTGTAGCTGAAATAAAAAAAAATAATAAAATTATACAAACAAAATAAAATACTGCAACTAACTTGGAATCATAACAATGAAAAGAAGCACACTTAAAATATACTTTTGACAATTAAAATGTTCTGCATAAATAGCTTACATAGGAAACATTTTTTCTAAAAGATTAGAATTTTATATGTCAAAGTTTTAAAAGTAAAATGAAATCAAATTATTTCTACCTGAAAACTTCAAGCATCTTACAAAGAACATTAACTGACAAGATTGTTCATTTTTAATCCTACTTAGAGTGGGCAGTTTCACTCAATGAAATGAAAACTCAAACTTTAAATCACAGGATTTTATTAGGTTATTTTACCAACATTCCAAGTCCACAGGTTATTTTGTGTCTATTTTGCAGATAAATTCTTTTATAAGTCATTATTATAAGGGTGGGAATGTCATTCAGGTATAGTTGCATTTTGCAGCTGGCTGTTTATTAATTTTCCTTTTTATATTTTGGGGTAGAATTTTGTCACTTTTAAGAATTCTAGAATGGGTTTGGCACTCTCAAAGGGAACCATATGGTTGAATCGGAGGAAAAAACAAAGCAATGAAGGATACAAATTTTTTCATTAGTTTCGAGGCAGTAATTCCACACCTAAAACCCTATCCTGCAGGATGAGATTTAAGCTGTGAGTTTAAAAATTTGGATACAAATGAAAACCTCTTAAACTTACAAAAAAAAAAAATTAAAAAAATACATACACACACACACATATATATATATATATACACACACACACACTAAAGATTACTAACTTTTTCAATTCCTCTTCTAGCCAGACACAGGCATCCAAATCCAAATGATTGGTTGGTTCATCCAACATGAGGAGAGCCGGCTTGATATATAATGCTCTGGCCAAAGCAATTCTCATACGCCAACCACCAGAGAAATCTTTCACAGATCTGTGCTGCATTTCTTTCGTAAAACCTAGACCATGCAAAATATATGCGGCCTTTGCCTCAGCTTTATCAGCATCCATATCATCAAGGCGCTCGTACACGTCCATCAGGCGTTCATGAGATTCTAGAGAGGAAAAAGAAACAAGTATTTCATGGAAAATATCATTCATCACAAAGAGTAATTTCTACATAGCATTGGAAGAATGCATAAAAGAGAAAGGTTCAATTTACTAAAATTTGTTCTCTATACAATATATTATATAAAGGACACACTCCCTTCTTCCTTAAATGAAATTTAGTACTTACCCAGATCTCCTTTGGCAGCCAACATTTCTGCTTCTTTTTCCAGTCGCAGTCTCTCCGTATCAACTTCAATAACACATTGCAAAGCATTCTTATCTGTGGGTGGCATTTCTCTGCTCAACAAAAATGTATCTATATGTTTGGGGATAGGAAATTCTTTCATTTGAATGGCAGCCAGTAAAGAAGTCTTTCCTGGAATAATAATAAAATAAAAAAAAATTAAAGACAAAAGAAAAACAATATCAGTTAATAGAGACAAAACTGATACACTAAATACTACCTTCTCTTGCTCTTTCTCATTCAAATGCATTAAAAAGAAATCAATTTCAAATAATTAACAAAGCAAAATAAAAATTGGTAAAGAACATCAAAAGAAATATTACATTTGACAGTATAATTATGAAAAATTATTAAATTTCCTCCATATTTTAAATGATTGTAACTGTACCAATTTGTCCCAGGTCTGCAGAAATGAGATTAGGTATTGATCAAGATGACACCTTTCTGATTACCGATTCCAGACACTTTTTCAATCATTTGCTATCTTTAATCAGTCCATTTGGAAATGGTATTTTTGAAAACATATGATTTTGCAGAACACATAATCCACAATGCTCTTCCAATCCTACCAGATTGGATTGCAGACCAGGGGGGTCTCAAAAAAAAAAAAAAAAAGTGCCTCATTTCCAACCATTTTGCTCCAATAATTCTTTTCAAAACTTAACAGATTGATTGATTGATTTACAGCATATCAAGTTTGTAGACTGTTTAAAGCTGGAATAGATTAAAATGTTGCATTTTTCCAATATTAAAATGTTAAATTAAAATGTTCCATATTAGTTAAAAATTTTCTTGCAAGGGGAGTGGTGGGTGGGGGTTAGGCATTCAATAAAGAAATCTTATAAATTAAAGATTTCATTTTTATATAAATAAAAACTCCCAATGTTTTGTTTTAAATGTTAAAAATGTAAAATTTTAAAATTTCCCAGTTAGCTTTACATATTCCAGCATGATATTTTATTATGTAACTCTGGATTATCATTTTCTAAAATGATGAGAAATGGTCACTTCAACGTGTGCCGTCTCCAGTTTTCTAGGTATAGACCATGTATATGCTGATGTCACATTAAGTTCTGTTGCAGAATATGTGCCTGTTGTTAGGTGTAGATATGTTGGCCTTGTTATTAAATAAGTGTCCTTGATTTAGCAGTGCCTCTATTATTCTGCTTCTTTTTCTTAATTTCCTTACTGCTCCACAACTTATGGCTGTTGAAGCCTCATCAGAATGAAAGTCTTCAGTAATTGCTGAATTAAGTCGTTTCACTGTCTTATTGATTGCCTCCCTTCATATAAGCAAACAAATGCTTATTGCTTTCTGTACAGTTGCCGTTATTGTAACCACATGCATATTTGTTTACAGTTTTACTGCACTGTAAATGATGTTACTAATAAATATTAACAAGCTGTCCAAGAGTCTAGTGGTTTGTGTGATTGTAGTAGTAACATTCTTTTTTACTATTTGTTTCGTTTATGAATTCGGGTTAGTCTTATCAACTCAATTGCAGTAGCTTTTTTGTAAGTACTTCATATTTGTGATTCACATTTTAACAATGAGTTTTAGTCATATCCTCCATTTTTTTGTACTTGACTGCAATTTCTACTTCCGTACATCATAATCCTTGCATAAGTCAGATGTTCTTCCCCACAATCGGCACAGTTAAAGGAGTGGTTACATTCACCTTTAGCTTGGTAATGGTCTGTATCCACATCTACAACATACTGCCCAATTGCTGCATCCATCACCATGGTGTCCAAACAAAGTAGGAAACAAAATTTGAATACTAATTACATAAAATACAAATTTTAAAAAATTCCCCACTGCTAAAGAATTATTCAAGAAATCTAGCACAATTTTCAAGGGTAAATTCTTTCAAAGATTTTACTTTATTAAGGCAATGGGGCAAGGTGGGGAAAAAAGCTCTGAAACCAACTCACCACATCCATTCAATCCCAGCACACCATAACGGCGCCCAACATTCAGTTCCAATTTTGTGTCCGTAAGTAATTCTGCTCCATGAAATGTAATGGATAAATTGTGAATATGCAAATCTCGGCTATCAGGGTGTGAAGCAAGGACCCCTGTACATGAACGATGCTGAGAAACCAAGTCCATTTCACCAAGTCCTTCTGTAACAGCATCCACTAAAAAAAAAAAAAAAAAAAAAAAAAAGTCAAGTAAAAAGAAAAATTATTTCTACTTATGAATCTAATAAGAATCTAACTGGAAGTTTCACTTGACTCTTCAAGCAGACTTCAACTGTTGAATTGAAAATATTTCTTATGACAAAAACAGTGAACAACTTAGGCTGAACTTCTCATTTTCCTCTTCAACCAAATTCTATAGACAACCTGGAGAATTAAGACTCCAAGGTTTTATAAAATTTTTAATAGAAGATTTAAGCAAATATTTTTTCCACCAACCAAGTAAAGGAAAAATAGGAATATGGCTGCTAAATACATGCAAAATCTGTCAGGCCTGAGGCATTAATTGCAAGGTTAAAATACTGATGTCATTTAAAAAAAAAAAAAAAAAAAAAAAGGTAATTTTTTTTTTTAAATGTAATCTTCAAGTAGGAATGACAAAATTATGTGTCCTAGATGTACCCTAGTCTGTTCATAGCAATTCTTACTCTGCATTCACTTTTACACTAATGTCCTTGGCAAAAACATGGATCTTCTCTTCAACTACAGACTAAGCTTTCTAACTTTGAGTGGCAGCCAATCTAGAAGAACTACTCTGAATTTCAATCCATACAGAAGACAATAAAAATTCTTCACCATTATCTTTCACCCAAGTAGTAATGGCAATTCACAAATAACAAAAAGAATCTAGAACGTCATAATCCGCTACATCCAGAATGGATATGGCATTAAAAAAAATAAATAAATAAAAAAGTCATGCCAAAAAAATATTTGTCCAGATTCCTATTGTAGAGTAATTGTTACCAAATTCAACTTGCAGGCCATTGCTAGCAAACATTCCTCACTTGATGCACAATAAACTAGACTAACCAAAGTTTAAATATTTACTAAAAATGTCTGTGCAATGAGCCATGAAATTTAAAATATTTATATATGTAATATGAAATATAGGCTTTTTTTTTCCCCCAAATTTAACCGATTTGCTGGAGAGACCATATTCATTTCCTAATTATTATTATCAGTTATTTACCGAGTGGCTAAAAGATATTTTCCATTAATTTAGGTACTGCTAAAGAAAAGTGAATACCTAAGGTTTAAATGAATAAGAGGCAAGAAACAAACAATGCTCTGAGAAGACAGGGAAAGAAAATAACTTTAATATTAACCTTACAGAAAAGGGGTTTACAATTATATTTTAAACTCAAAATCAATTTGTACTATCAATTTTGTTGGAGTCAGTAAAAATAAAAAATTCGCTTCAAGAGTTTTGAGCACCGCAGGAGATCAATCCCCACAAAGGGGAGTCCTCAACTGCTCTAACTCGGCCTTTTAGGTCATCATTCTCCAACATATAGTATCTCTCTCAAAACAGATATGCGGAAACAAAGCATGAGAGAGGAAGAGAGTAATAAGTTTAAAAATTGTTATTGAAAAAACAAACAAATAGTAAAATTCAATGCATCAATTTACATTTGACACTTCATCATGAACACGTCATAAGTCCAAATTATTTAAAATTGTTTTAAACAGAGCAGAAAAAAAATACTGTTTCAAAGTGTTTAAAACTTTCACAATTTAAGATTAAAAATGATTTTTGTGAAGCTAAAAATACATTTATGATCAGGTGAGTTTAGTGAAGATTTTGGTTACTTTTGATTTAACATTTTAATGCTAAAAATGTTAAATCAAAAGTAACAAAAATCTTAATTTACACAAGTTGAAGAATTAAGTGACACCAAATGTCATCTGATACTATTCAAATTTCCCATTTTTTAAATAATCTAATTAAATTCTAGTTCTAAATATTATCAATTCTGGCTTCTTCAAAATGTGAAACAAACACATATTGACTTCAGTCATTACCCTGAGCTCAGATGAATTTTAATAACCATAAGGAAATTATTGCATTAAGTAAAATTAGGTAACACCCAGTAATTCACTGAGGAGAGGGGAGAGAAAAAAAAAAAAAAAAAAAAAAATTTTTATGCATTAGTGGTGCAACTATTTAAATTTTAGTGCTTTTTTGTTTTCAGTCCCCAGTAAAATAACAATTTGGAAATTCTTGTAAAAATCAAATAATTGTCAGATTTTAATAAAACTTTCAGTACTTATTTCACAAATAAATGAATTTATTTTTTCGTGATTTTTTTTTTTTTACTTCTGTTACCCACCCCTACATAATTTTGGGAAATTTCTAGAACTTAAATTCCATCCTCCAAATTTGTTTCATTAGTTAAATGCAAGACTCCTTGGAGAATGTAATTTTTTTTTTTTTTTTTTTTTGAAATAGTTACTGATATTCTGAAAATCTGCTCTAAATAGTAAAATAAAAATGCACTGAAACTATGTAATGAAATAAGCTTTTAATTTCTTTTGTAAATAATATATATTAAGGACATTACTGAATAATAAATTTTTACAAGAACTGATTTCATTTTTTCTTCTTAATTTATAAAGTTTCAAAAATTTTTTTTTAAATTCTTTAAAACTTTCTCATTAGGTTATTAAGTGAAGACTACATTTACCCAACGGGGATCAACAACTAACATTAGGGCAATTTATCAAGAGTGACGGGCAGAAGCAACAGTATCTTTAATTTTTAAGTGAACCAGGTTATTTAACTATAAAGTAATTCTTAAAAATTAAATACTTTCAAAAGTTTAGTATTTACAGATTTCTTTTAGGTACTTTTTTTTAATGAAGATATGTCTAAAGACGGCATTATTTCCGTCCCTGAAATTGAATCTAAAAAAAGAAAAAAATTGCAGTATATTTTTCACTGAGAAAGAAAAAAATTATACTTAAAAAAAAAGATATTTAGTGTAATGTTGAAAAAAAAAAATTACAAATTCTGAAAATGCAACAATGGTCGATTAGAGAATTTGATACGCTATCAGGAGAAACAACTCAAGCAAATGTGATATTATTTCAAAATTGTGTTTCGTTAGTTTTGCCATAAGCGTTTTTAATACATTTTTCGTATATTAAAAAAAAAAAAAATAAAAATACACTTTCACAAACTAATAAACTTTCAAATTTAAGATCTGTAAAAATTAGATCTTTCATAATAAAAGCATTTTCTGAGACACACGGCTTCAAATTTAATTTGAATAGAATTTCTTTGACATACAAAATATTTTGCTTACTGGAAATAGTAAATTTAACCCTTTTAGCTATCAATTAAAGCTAAAATGAAAGCTTCGTAATTTTAGAACCTTAAGTATTAGTGGAGGTACCTAAATAAAATCAAACAAATTAGAAAGAACTAAAAAAAGTACAAGTATTTATTGTAAGTGAAACGTACTGAAACAATCGAAAGTTGCACCTGAAAACAAAACAAATGACACTTAATTATTGAATGTAAAGAACTGGCTCACCTGATACACCATTGGTGGCAGCTTCTTTGGCAGACCCATTTTTCTTTTTGTTTCGACCTTGGGCCGCAGCTGCCTTCTTTTGGGCATCTCTTCTTTTCTTAGAATCAGATGGCATTTTGGCACTTGGTCCTAGAAAAAATTTTAAAAGCAAAAATGACAGTCTTACTTCAACTTTCAAATTCAGTACAAAACTGCTAATTAATCAAATCTTAAGTGATTTTAAGAAAAAAATTAATAAAGTAAGCACTCAATTGCAAGTCTACGGTTCCTTAACTAGCAATGAATAAATGATTCCTATTCTTATATAAATTAGGAAAACGGCTAAACAAAAATGATTTGTGGTATTGTGAATTAATATTTAATTTAGTTTACCTAGAGAATTTTTTTTTTTTTAAATCATTTGTATGGTAGGTTATTAGAACAAAATTACATGTGCTAAAAGTACTTCAAAAGATCACCAGGTCTTACACCTAACGAAGGCTGCAGAATATGTCGACTATTATTTAAAAAAAAAAAAAAAAAAAAAGGGCAATGTGAATAAAGATAAAAGTGCGTAGGAGAAATAATTACTTTTTTTTGTAATTTAGTACTTTCTAATGCGAGAACGTGTTAATTTCCGCTGTTGACTGCATCACAACTCAACTGGGATGGGAAAATGACGCGAGCTCACTCCATAGAGAAGGTGGTTGTCTAATGTCTATGAATACTAGAAGTTGAAAAAAAAACTATATCCCCAAGCAATGACATTGTTATTAATAAATTTAAAAATAAGTATACAATTGCGAACCTGAAGATTTTTCCTTTTAACATCTAAGAAATATAATTATAGATATTTGATCTCTACAAATTAACTTGGAAAAAAAAAAAAAAAAAGTGATTTCCATAAGCCTTATTGATCCAGAACTCAGATGTAGGAGAATGTGTAATACAAGTTCAGCAAAAAAAAATAAATAAATAAAATTATGCTTGTGAATGAGCAATTTTAGTTCTTTTGGCTACGACCAACTTTTCCTTTATGTCTTCTAAAAAAAAAAAAAAAAAAAAAGGGAGAATATACATGCCGAACAAAGTTAAAACAACACCGAAATCTTGTAGCGGGAAAATTTGCCATAAAATTCTCTCAATATGGAACAGACTTCCTTGAATCCCTATATTTAAAAAGTAATGAAATTCAAGTAGAAATCGAATCAGTTTGGTTTAATGTCGGACACCATGCGGTGACATTTAAAAGTGATTTAAAAAAAAAAAAAAAATGAGAACAATGAAAATATACAATTAAACAACTTAATTTTTTTTTTTTTAAAGTTTCCAAGGATGACGTAATCTGTGCTAAAGAAATAAAATCAGGATTTTCTGGTTATGGACATCAATTGAAGGACTATCAATTTACCGAATTCGTTCTATATTTATATATAATAAAGAAAATCATTTTTACTTAAGTAAATCAAGCTAAGAAAAAATGTACATTGTACATCCTTTTAGGAGTTACATTATGCGGATATGAACATCAGTCGACACAGGATTGTGCTTCAATGGTGTATTTTCAATTCAATACGAAAAGAAAATACGCACTTTTAATAAAAAAAAAAAAAAGACACGACTAAAGAGACTTATTTAACTACTACTGATTTAACTTAAGTTATCTTGACATTATTCAGGGCGATTTATTTAAACAATATAAAGAGACTAAAATGTCGCAAAATAGGAAGGTTAACAGAATTTAAGAAAATGTAAAATATATATATATATATATATTATATAATTAATTACTAAATTGATTATCGGTTTCCTTTCCGTTCAACCCAAAGCTAAGGATCGGAATGAAGTGACTTAGTTGTTGAATACCACCATTGATAAACCAAACTGAGAAGACTAAAAAAATGATTTTTTTAAAACGAGATCAATTCGTCACAAGTAAAATAAAATAAAAAGCGAAAAAAACGGTTTCCTAATACCAAAGTGAACCAAAATTCATTCAATTATAAATTTCTTTAAAAAAAAAAAGTCAAAAATACCATCAACCCGCGTTGTGGCCTTTTAGCCTGAAAAGGAAAAAGTCTATGGCGGCCAAGCGGCGTTTAACCGCTCTAACGAAAAACTGCCATTTTTCTTGGAAAATGACAGAAATAAGTTCCTATTCAAAACGAGATAAGACAATCGGAATTATTCTGAATGTCATTTAACAACACAACTCACCAAAAAAAATCAGTCCTGGAAAGACACGAGAAAAAGAACAGTGACTACAGAGATTGTAAATGCCACATGCGGTTAGGTCTGACTGCTTCAAACTACGACAGCTGCCGGCCTTCACGTTTCAGCACAAATATGAAGACTAGATTTGATTGGTTGAAATTCGACTCAATATTTCTAAAATCATATAAGGCCATTGAAAAGATGTGAATTAGTATTTTTAGTCGCCGATATGAGTTTTGATTTTAGTTATAGTTTTTTCCCCCCCCTTCATTTTTCAACTAAATTTGTTTAGGAAACAATTAACAAAATTAGAAAATAAAAAAAATATATATTCAGTTACATCACGTGACTAAAGACAATCCCAGCCGGGTATGAAAAAAAAAAAAATGGAGTATTTGTGTACTAAACTGAGACCGACTTTTTCGTTAAAATTCAGTTTTTTACGAACAATTTTGTGGATCTACAAATCTCTTAACAATGTTTATTTTCTCATATGTAATGCGTTCATACGATTTTCCCCAGAGTTTTATTATTATAAGTAAAAAAAAAAAAAGCAAGGTTTATTATTTCTAAACTAGTACTAGACGAAAATGCTTTCCCTTTCAATTTCATTCATTCGTTTTACAATCGATGTTAACTTAAAAACTCACCCCCAAAAGAGATTTACCTTATCTGTTGCTCTTTAAGCAAATAGTGCTAAGAAATATTTTTTCTTAACTATACCTATTTTACTTTCCAAATTAACTGAATGCTAATAGATTTTAATTTATCCAATTGAAGTTGAGACCGTATTGTTGTCAACAATGTTGTTTTTTTCCAAACTCTATATTCAAATTTCAGAATAGGTCAGTAAGTACAAAAATGTAACAAATATGGGTTTGCGATTTTACCAAGTTGAAAGAAGAGATTTGTTAAAATATTTCCATAAAATGTAAATAAAGTAAGCAACATGGTTTAAACTTTAAATATTTATTTCCCAAACTGAGAATTTTGTATGTTGAAGTTACACAAAACATTTTATTCAGAATCATTAAATAATAAATATTACACTTACAGTGTACACATTTTTTCACAATTACGTTACAAGTTAATTAAAAATTGGTGTTGTCAATTTCCATAATTAGTATGTCTCAAGTTCTCAACAAATCTTAAGCGTGTAGCAAAATACCAGTTAAACAGTGAAACTAAAAGTTGTGCATGAAGGAAAGTTTATTCTAAAAAAAAATATAAAATTTTTAATGATTTCAATTTTTTATGAGATTGCGTTAACAAAAAAAAAATCTTTAATGCTAAAAAAATAAATGGATCTACTCAAAGTTTTTTGGTATTTAAAATTCGTATGGTTGTAATTTTATTTTATCTATTAAGATAACACAATTAAGCAATTATATTAAGATTTTAAAGTCTATACATCAAAATCGTAAAATTCCTTTCGAAAAATATCCTTATTCGGTTTCAGCTGAACAAAACCGAACCGGAACAAGATTAATAAATAAGAATCACTTATTTAGTGCAGACTTGTTTTTCAACTTCCTGTTCCCATTCTGCAGTCAGTAGAAAATGGCGTCTCCATGTGTGGCGGTGGCTAAGTTAGCTTCTGGGGAAGCTTTTCAAAACCCTGTCGATTTTTTCAGCGGTAACTCCTGCTTCTACTGCTGGGCTTATTACGATCTCTTATGACCCAACGGGCAAGGCTGGACAAGCCAAAGTCCGCTCTATAGATAACACAGAGCCCCCTACTAACAGTTGATGATACTGTGGTGAACTTTTATTCTTTCCTTTTTTTTCTTGAGAGTGAGAACACATCTCCGTTGTGACGACAGCACAGAAACAAAACCACTGTCGATTTTGAAATTAAAAGAATCTGAGATAAAAGTGTTACATTTTCTCCTCCATGAGGTATAATAATATTTAAAAACAGTGAATCTTAAGAGGAACATCTTAACGTTCTCTATTAACTTAATTACATTGTTGAACTGAAACCAGACATGTTTGGAAATCTATTTCAAGAAGAGGACACTTACCTGAGTAGCCAACAAATACCAACCCCCGATTCGGTTGGAGATAAATCTGGTGGATGGGATGCACCTCCCCAACCGAGGGACTCATGCCGTCTGGCAGGTCTCTGGAATCAAGGGGCCACGTGCTACCTAAACTCTCTTTTACAAACCCTGTTTTTGACACCAGAATTTCGGGGTAAAGTATTTTTTTAATTGTGCATCGTTACAAATTCTTGTTTGTTGATGATGATACTCTTGAAAAAGTTAAATTCTTTAGAAATAAAAGTTATGTTTTTCGTTCGTCTTGTATAAAAATGTGAAAATTACAAAAAAGTCTGAAAATGTTTTGATCTTTGATTAATCATGCAAAAAATTCTATTTTTGTTCAAAGTTTTTTAAAAACATTTTTTGACTTGGTTTTCGTATTATTATTTTTTTTAGGCGAACTTTTCCTCTTATAAGCATAAGATTCAATTTTTTCTAAAAATCTGCATATTCCACTTTTTTTTCTTACACATTTGAAATGTAAAGAAGTGAATAAACAACCTCGTCGTCTTCGAAAATGGTCAATATCACTCTGGAACGGTTATATTTTTTTAGATTTATGATTAATTCTCATCTGTTTGTGAAATTGGTGGATATTTTTTTATCAAAATATTGTAGAAACCATGAAAATGTGATTAGTTGTTTTGTTCACAAGGAACCCCTCGCCATCATATGTTTGCTTTTTAACTATTTCGTACTTGTAAGCAAATTTATTTTGATAAAGTTGACGTCATATTCAAGCCTTTTTTCATTAATAAATAACTAAAATTACACTAACCTAATTAACCAGAAAAAAATAATCTATCATTTTTTAAAATTTAGATTAAGAAATATTCTAACTTTTAAGTTTCAAAGCAATTATTAAGAAAGAAATATTATGGCTAACTAAACAATCGTTAAGGAAACTTCATTCAGTTACTAAGATATTTTCCTCCGTTTTTATTTTATTTTTAAAAACACTATGATAAAGATAATAGGATCTTAATCCCCCCACCCCGCCTTTTTTCTCATTCTCCATTTTGAAATAAATTACGCGAAAACCTTTTTTTCCCAGAGTGTAAAATGGATAACAATAACATTTTAAGATTTATGTATTATGGATAGTAAAGTTTTAAGAGCATTAAAAAAATAAATTCCAACGTTATATTGGACAGAAGGAAGCAAGATTCCATCCCATAAATGTTTAATTTCGACATTCGACCACAAAATTTTTTTTTTTTTAAAATATTATCCGAGTACTGGCCATTTTAATTTTGAGAAAAGTGTGAATATTTCTTCCATTATATCTGGAGTTAAAAACCACAACAATAACATTAAATTTTCAATTATAAAAAAATATGAAAACAATTATGTTAAATTTAAAGAAAAAGAAAACCATCAATTAAAGTAAACAGATTGACTATATTGATTGATCATAAACATATCAATTTAAGAAAGATGTAATATTTTTTTTTAATCTTACACTACGCACTTAAATAGAATCAATTATAACTTTTAGAATTCACTGTCAGAGTTGAAACTTGTGTATATATTGTAAAGGAAAAGAATTTTGGAAAATAGTCAAATGATTTTTTTTTGTAAGAAGACTGAGGAAATCGAACCCCCCCCTTTTTTTCCATTAATTTTCTATCACAACAAAAATTAATATTTTTAAGACCCTTTTTTCTTTATTGGCCGAATATTGAAATTCAAAAAAATTAATTCGTATGCGAGAACCAAAAGATATGTTACAATAACAAATATTTTTTTCTAAGTCGTCATGGTTGTTCATCATCATAAGGAATAATTGCCGTAACGTAAACAATCGTTTGAAATATTGCCGTTTTATTAAAAAGAAAAAATCAAATGAAATGACAACTCTAGTATTCACAGGGATTATTTGTTTTTAAATATTTCGTAAAATTCTTAAAGAAGTTCAATCAATAGACATTGCTAAGTTGTTATTAATATTTTGTTTGAATTGAGGTGGGAGTATTTTCTTCAGTCTATTTTTCATTTAATAATTCCGGCATATTTTTTTCTATTTCTGATATTATTATTTTTTCTTATTAGAAAAGGAAGAGACTACTTCTATATTTTGAGATGCAGTAAAGAAAATTTGAGTAGTCTGGAAAAGTGGAAAACAAAAGGATTGCTACTACGATGTTATTACCAAACTCAAACACATTTTTGAAAATTCCAATACGTTTTTATAATTAAATTAAATAAAAATGTATTAGAATTTTGTAATTTTAATAAAACGTGAAGGAAAGAAAAAAATTTAAAAAATCGATGCTGACCAACGAGCTATATGTACGAAATTAAGTTCTGGCCAAAAGATTTTTTAGGGTTGACCAGATACCAGTAAAAAAAAAATAAGGGGTCATTGAAAAATGAATTTAGGTTGTGAAGTTGATTTTTATTTTTAGAGTTCATCAAAACTGCCTGCCTCACAAATCACCAGCAAGAACAATAGGAAGTTATAAAACAAAGAATTACGCATTAGTGAGCTTTTAAACTTTATGAAATTATGAAAAAAAACTCAAAACAAAACACGTTGATCTCTTTCTCTCTCTCTATCTCTCTTTCTCTCTCTCTCTCTCTCTTTCTCTCTCTCTCTCTCTATCTCTTTCTCTATCTCTTTCTCTCTCTCTCTTTCTCTATCTCTTTCATCTATCTTTTCTCTATCTTTTCTCTCTTTCTCTCTATCTCTTTCTCTCTCTATCTCTTTCTCTCTCTATCTCTTTCTCTCTCTATCTCTTTCTCTCTCTTCTTTTTTTTTCTTTTTTTTTTTTTTTTTGTAGCTATTTTTTTAAAAGTTTGTGTCTATCACCTAAAAAAAATTATCTTGTAATTACGCCACATTGGATTATGTTAATTTTTTTAAACACTCAAATTTAGTAGTGCTAAAAAAAATATTTCCGATTGATTATACGTTGGAGAACTTCGATCTTAAAAATGACAAATGATAAAGAAATAAACTTTTACAACTTTTTTTTTCTTCCCTCAACTATAGTTTTTTTAGTTTTCAACATTAAAAGTGAATGAAGATATAGAATGGGGAAGTAAAGCACATTTTCGCCGTCAAATATAAATTACTTGTGAATGTTGAACTAGTATTTTTAATTTTAATCAATTTTCAGAATTCATATTTTAATTCCCGAACAGCATTTTCTTTCTTTTTAGCTCCGACCTTATCGATTCAAATATTGATATTTTACACTGACCTTTACAGAGAGGGGAAAAAAAAAGCTATTGTTGAAAAAGTTCTTACTCAAGATATCGACTAAAAAAAAAATATATAATTCAAAGAGAAAATTAATAAAAAAAAGATGTTTTTATTTTAATAAAAATAGAGATGTTGGAATAGCATTTTTCAAATTTCCAGTTTCTTTAATGTGGAAATATTTTCCTGGTCAAATATCACAGATCAGTAACTAAACATCTTTCAAAACTTAAAACAATCTGTTATTTTATTTAGTTTATAATTATTTCTTGAAGGCGGTACTGAGAAAATCATGGTAGAATCCCACTCGACTGCAATAATTATTTAAATAATTAACCCATAAATAATTATTAATCCATATGTGTAGACAATGACTGGGAACTGACGCCTTTTTTTACTCGTCGCATCTAAAAATCTAATTTTTGAAAAAGGAAATTTTAAATGTATTGAGAAAAACAAAAAGAAAAGGCATCAATTTGAAAATTGTTACGAGGATGATGTGAGAAGTACGAAAAACTTTCACCATTTTTATTTTGCGTCTCAAAATCTCTTTACTTTTTTTTTTTTTTCAAAATAAAAATTTGGAGTGTTACATTTGGTTTCATTATTTTGTCATAAAATCTCAATTAATTAAACCTTTTCATTTATTAATCTGTTGATGACTGATCGGTTTAAAAAATTGCCCAATGAAGTGGTGACTGGCCTACATTAAGGGAAATTTTGAATTTCGCTCTTAAATGTTTCTCTATCGAAAAGATCAGTCATCATAACTTAATTACGCAATAATCGCTGACTTGATTTTTATTTTTTGTTAAAATGAATGTTAAACCGCAAAGAAATTATTAAAAAAAATTATTTTCACACTATTTCTCTGTCCAATATTTTTTAACCACAATTTAGAGAATTTTGTAAAAACAGTAAAATCCTTTGTTGTTGAGAAACAGCTGTTTGAACCCATAATAAAACTGACCGGTTTGTGTGGATTTCGATGAATTTATTTTGATAGGTTATTTACATTTTTTTTTTTTTTTTTTAATTATCTAGCTTTGACTGAATAGTCAATAGAATATTGTTACCTTTTTAAAAAGTTTAAGTCAGCATCTTATGAAAAGAACCCTGGACTTTTTTTTTTTTATGAAAGATTAACAATCAAAAGTTAACATTTACACTAAATGTTAACTTTTTTGAAGTTTGTATATTTGCCAAGATTGTAAATTTTACAAGAAACTTCAAGAAATAAAAATGTTAGCAAATATTAATTTGCAAGTCAAGATCTACCCTATAGACTCGTGTATCAGACGTCTTCATGTAGTGCAACCTCTCCAGAAAAAAATTACCTGTATATAGTGACCCATTATGATTATTTTTTGCATAACAAGAACTCCTCCTAAAAACTCACATTATACTCGAGCGAGTATATATGGAATATAAAAAGTACAATATCAGTATTGCCAAAAAAAAACAAAAACAAAAGAACCAATTTTTACACTGATCCCTCTCTTGAAAAAATCACTTTCCCATAAATATTTGTTTTAATTAATGATTGATTTTTTTTTATATACAGCTTATCAACCTTTTGCAAAATTCTTACAATTGAAAATTTTCTGGTTTTAAATAACCAGAAAATTTTAGATTGTAAGAATTTTGGAGATAATAATGATTTACTAATATGTCTTACTAATTAACCCATAACTGGGAGGAGAAGAGATGAATTCATACCCTTCCCAAGCATATTTGCACATGTGAATAGAACGAATCCAACTAGAATTGGAACTCAGCTCTCCAATTTCCAATAACAAGCCATTATTCATTAAACCACACAAGCTTACAGCACCTGGTAACCCCAAGTGGTCACCCATCTAGTTGATTAGGTTTGGCATTGCTTAACTTTGGTGATCATACAAAAACTAATGTTTCAACATGATATGGCTTTTGAGTAATGACAA